GAGAATTAAAATCATCCTCAGACATCTAATGCCTTAAAGATTATGCTGCTTCCAGAGCAGCTCTACAAGAGATGCTCCAGAAGGTATAACCACAGAAGGAAAGAAAGAAAGAACAACATGCACTTTCCATGAATACAGGAAAGCAGAATTAGCACAACACACCTAGTGACAGCAAAATGGAATATTCACTCATATATCAATCCAAAAGTTAAAAGAAAACAAAATCATGTTATAGAAGCCTCATGACAGGGATAAACCCCAACATTTTAATAACCAATCTAAATGTCAATGGATTAAATGCACCACTGAAAAGACATAGAATGGCAAATTGATGCTTGACCAAATGGACTTAATAGATACCTACAGAACATTCCACCCAACAAAAACTGAATATACATTCTACTCATCACCACATGGAAAATACTCCAAGAACAACCATATCCTCAGCCATAAATCAAGCATTAAAAATGTTCATAAGATCAAAATACTACCTAGCAACTTCTCAGACCACAGTGGAATAAAAATAAATATCATCACAAATGAAATCCCCCCAAACACACAAAGACATAGATACTAGACAGCACAATGATGAACAAATCCTGGATCAACACAGAAATCGAACTTCTTGGAAACAAATGAAAACAAAAATATCTTACTAACAGCTCTGGAATGCCATGAAATCTGTACTAAGAGGGGAATTTATATCTCTACGAACAAACATCAAAAAAATTAAAAGATCACAAGTTAACAGCCTAACAAATCAACTAAGGGAGCTGGAAAGGCAAACCACCAAACCCATAACTTCAGTAGAAGAATCCAGATAACCAAAGTAAAAGCTCAAGTACAGGACATAGAAGACAAAAATATCACAAAAAAAAAATAACTGACACAAAAAGCTGGTTCTTTGAAAGGATAAACAAGATTGATGGATCCCCAGACAGACTGACCAAGAAAAAGAGACAAAGAGCCCAAATAGACACAAGCACAAAAGCAAAAGGTCAGGTCACAACTGACCCTGAAGAAACACATAAAATTATCAGAAATTACAATGCACACCTGTATGGAAACAGATTTGAAAACCAAAATGAGATGCAGAAATTTCTGACGTCACACAAATTCCCAAGATTGATTCAAGAAGAAACAGAGACCATAAATAGACCAATAACCCAGGAAATTGACTCTATCATAAAAAAACTACCTACAAAAAAAGCCCAACACCAGATGGCTTTCCTACAGAATTCTGCAAAACATACAAGGGGGAGATGATACTAATCCTATTCAAAATATTCCAGGCAATTGAAAAAATATTCTAGGCAATTGAGAAAGACAGAACTCTCCCCCAAAACATTTTATGAAGCTAACATTACACTAATACCAAACTGGGAAAGACCCAACAAAGAAAGAAAACTACAGGCCAATATCCTTGATGAACATAGAAGTAAAAATTCTCAACAAGATTCTAGCAAATTACACCCAACATCTCAACAACATCTCAAAAATTACCCACCAAGACCAAGTAGGCTTTATTCCTGGGATGTAGGGCTGGTTTAATATCCACAAGACCATAAATGTAATTAAAAACTTAACAGATATAAAAACAGGAAGCACATGATTTTATCATTAGATGCAGAAAAAGTGTTTGATTTAAAAAAAAACAAGCTTGAACACCTAGGTATAGACGGAGCATACCTCAAAATATCAAAAGCCATCTATGATAAACCTATAGCCAACATATTACTAAATAGACAGAAATTGGAATAACTTCACCTGAAAACCAAAACAACACAAGGCTGTCCACTCTAACGCCTCCTGTTCAGCATAGAGTTAGAAGTCCTAGCTAAAGCAATCAGACAAGAGAAGGATATCAGGGGTATCCAAATAGGAAAAGAGAAAGTTAAGCTATCCCTCTTTGCAGATGATATGATCCTATACCTGGAAAATCCAAGGAAATCTGTCAAAAACCTCCTTGCACTGATAAAGGACTTTGGAAAGTCTCAGTGTATAAAATCAACATACAAAAGACAGTGGCATTTATATACGAACAACAAACAGGCAGAGAAACAAATAAAAAGTACAATGTCATTCACAATAGCCACACACACACACACACACAAATATGAAATACCTTGGCATCTTACTGAACAGAGAAGAGAGACCTTTAAAATGAAAATTACAAAACAATGCTCAAAGAAAAAAAAGATGGTCACTGCCTTCCTAGACTCTGGTATGGCCCTGTGCTCTTTGAACAATGGCTGTTGTCATACTTCCTGGCTTTGCCTCCTCCCACCTTGGGGGGGTGAATTTTCTCTCACTCTAATTTAATTTTAAATAAACTCTATTTTGTAATGTAAAAAAAAAAAATGAAAAGAAATCAAAGATAACACAAACAAATGGAGAAATATTCCATGTTCACAAATTAAAAGAATCGACATTGTTAAGATGTCCATACTACCCAAGGCAACCTATAGATTCAAAGCAATATCCATTAAATTACCATCATCGTTCTTCTCAGACTTGGAAACAATAGAGAAATTCATATGAAAAAAAAAAAAAACACACAAATAGTCAAAACAGTCCTTAGCAAAACAAAGTGGGAAATATTGCACTCCCAAACTTTAAGCCTTTTTATAAGGTCACAATAATCAAAACAGCATGGTATTGGTACAAGAATAGGCATATAGACCAATGGAACAGAATAGAGATTCCAGAAGCAAAACTTCAATTTCCCACCCAACTCCAACTTTGATAAAGCCTTGACCAACAAACACTGAGGAGAGGAGAATCTATTCAGTAAATGGTTCTGGGATAACTGGCTGACCACATGCAGAAGAATTAAACAGGTCCCCTACCTATTACCATATACAAAAATCAACTCTAAATGGATCAAAGACCTAAACATAAAACTTTCTCAAATTCTAAGAATCTTAGAAAACTCAGGAGACACCCTTACGGGAATCAAAATAAGCAACCAATTCCTAATCAAAACCCCAGATATCCATGCCATAAGAGATAAGATACACAAGTGGGACCTCACAAATCTCAAAATCTTACGTAAAGCAAAGGAGAGAGAGTGGGGAGGCAGTCTACAGAAAGGGAAAAAAATATTTGCCAACTGTATATCTGACAAAGGTCCAACAACCAGAATCTACAAGGAACTCAAATGTGCCAAAAGGAAAAAACAACAACAACAACAAACAAGCAAACAACAAAAAAACCCAGCCCCATTAAAAAGTGGGCAAAAGAAATGAACAGACACTTCTCAGAAGACATACAGGCAGCCAACAGACACATGGAAACGTGTTCAGCCTCACTCATCTTCAGAGAAATGCAAATCAAAACTATATTGAGATACCACCTAATCCCAGTAAGAATGGCCATCATTAATTAAACAAAAAACAACAGATGTTGGCAAGGACATGGAGAAAAGATAACTTTTCTACACTGCTGATAGAAATGGAAACTAGTTAACCTCTATGGAAAACAGTGTGGCGATTTCTAAAAGAAATGGAAATTGACCTTCCATATGACCCAGCAATCTCCCTTCTGGGAATATACCCAGAAGAACTCAAATGATTCTATCAAAAAGATACCTGCAAACACATGTTTATTGCAGCACTATTTATAAGAGCAAAAACATGGAACCAACGATGCTACTTATCGAAACTGGGCTGGATAAAAAAAAAGTGGTACATGTACATGATGGAATATTATGCAGTCATAAAGAAGGACAAACATGGACTTTGCAGCAACTTGGATGGATTCAGGGTCTATAATACTCAGTGATCTGTCACAGAAACGAAGAACTGAGTACCGCATGTTCTCATTCATAAGTGGACCCTGATCACCTATCATAATACTACAATAAAAGGGATTGACAGTAGCGGAACACTGACCAGGAAGGGGGGCACATAACATCAATAAGGATGTCTGATCCTCATTCAGGCAAAGTGAGGTCCATTGGAGGCCCAAAAATTCACCTGTATCAAAACCACTTATATGCACAATCCTGACTTGTACCCCACAACTTTAAAATGAAATAAAATTAAATTTAAAAAACAAAAACTATAAGGCAGAAAATTTGAATCAGTGCCTGTAAAATCATGTGCTCCTCAGTCATTCTACACCTGATGACCTAGCAATGCAAACAGTTATTTGTTCCAAATTCCTAGATCCCTCATATGCTTTCTATACCAAAGCATCATATGTATGTGGCTTTATAATCACTCTCAAATTGTTTCAGGTGTGTATTATTCTTCCCATACCTTACTCCCAACCAGCTCCTCAGAGAAAAGACTGTGATTTATTTATGCATGTATGTGTCTTGGTACCTAGAATGACCATAAGCTACAATAGTTACTTAAATATAGAGTGAAAGAAGATTTAATAATGAAGTAAACTACTCAATGGGTAAAATGAAGATTAAATGAGATGGCATACTTGATAGCCCCTGTAATTAAGATAAAAACTCATTTTTTTTGTTTCTGTCATTCCTTATATGAGTTAATTAATTAACTTAAAATTTTATGAAAATCTACTAATGATACCAAAATACAAATATTACTAGCTGCAAACAGAAAACAAGATATTTCTCTTTTTAAACTAATTTTAATCTAGATAACACAACTGACTTCTTCAGAGGCTCTCTATGGACACACTAGAAACACAACTGCTTTGGTTGGAATCAAGATTTAAAAATGTACAACCAACTATATGTTCAAGGTCTGTATTCATACATGTACTGGTAATATATGTGTGTGTGTGTGTGTGTGTGTGTGTGTGTGTGTATGTGTGTGTGCGCACGTGTGCATATGTGTGTATGTGTATGACTCAATAATTTGTCTCCTAGCAGGAGATAAAATTCTTCAGCTGCTTAGAGTGGATCCAGAGGACAAATGACTGCAGAAGAATCGATCATGTAGATTTGGAGGTAGGGGTGAAAGTAATAGGATAAATTTTGGGCAATCTATTTCAAAAAACAAGAACTTAAATTGTTTTCTTACCCCACGGTACTGGCTTTCATTGAAAATCTGAGGTGGCAGGGGATACCCTGTGGCCGGTCGACTATTTTCAGGTATGTTTTCTCTCATCCACTTCCGATTCTCTTCATTGGCTGCAATATCTTTTTCTTCAAATCCTATTTTGTTGGCTTCTAAGAAACCAAGCACATCTTGCTGTTTCTTCTTAATCTAGGACCCAGAGGATAAAAAAAATATATATTGCTTAGCAAACAGCTTTTGTTGTTTTTACTTTTCAACAAAAGTCAGTGTTTGTGAGCTGGCAGAAACAAATTCAGACACGGAACAAAATCTGTGGTTTCACAGAAGATATATAATTCTCCCTCTATTACTGTCTTGTTAATGATTTATCATAAGTGGACTGAAGAGCACAGTTCATAGGTCCTTTTATCAAGCTTTTTTCTTGTTTCCCATTGAAAATTCTCATTATCTAATTGATGCAAATGCAAGGCTAGTTGACACATATCAGTAACCTAAACAAAATTCAGTTAGTTCAAAATTGTATGTTGTTGGAAGCTATGTTTTCTGATTATCTACAAGCCTCTTTTAGTTTCAGCCCTTATTGAAAGTGTTTTCAAACAACCCAAGCCTGCTTCCCACCTTAACAGGCATCACATAGTCAATAGAAAAGAATCATTTCCTTAAGGAGTCATTCAAGTCTCAATTTTCATTGTTTAAAACAGAAACTGAGTAAGAAGATATGAGCTAAGTCTGCCTGTATACTAAGTTTGGAATATAGCTATACCACTAATTAGTCCCTAACATGTGCTACTAAGTATCTTTCATGTATGTCATGTATGTTCAACTAGATCAACAGTTAGAAATGCACACTTAGCCAGGCTTGGTGGCTCAGCCTGTAATCCCGCACCTTTGGGAGGCTGAGGTGAGTGGATTGCCTGAGCCCGCGGGTTCGAGACCCGCCTGGGCAGCGAGACTTCATCTCTACAGTAAATCAAAAAATCAGCCGGGCATGGTAGCGCATGCCTGTAATTCCGGCTATTTGGAAGGCTGAGGCAGAAGGATCACTGGAGCCCAGCAGGTTGAGGCTGTGGTGGCCGGAAGTGGCCGCTGAAATCCAGTCTGGGCGACCCAGTGAGACTCCAACTCAAAAAAAAAAAAAAGGAATGCACACTTATTTTGTCTCCTTCTTATACCTAAGAAAAAGTTTTGGAAATGGTAAATTAATATTCTTCAGCTAGGTTTCTCCTCTGATATGTATTTCTTTGAGAACATGAATTCACATAACATTTCTGAGCTGCAGGAGCACAATCAATAAGCAAGATTCTTCATAGAGTCACACTAGAAAGACACATGGGGTGGAAGCATCAAAAGTAAAATAAAATGAAGTAGACCTGCCAATGAGAATGAAAATGCAAAATAAGAAATTCACATACAGTCATTTCCCCTCTGAATTTACACTCCCCATTGCTCTCTCCCGTACATGCATAAATGCACAGAAACTGTACTTTTGTCCTTCTAAATTGCTTGTGATTTTGTGGCTAAATAATTTTTCTCTTATCACATAATTCGGGAAAGTAATTCTCAATTTTTTCCCAATAGAAACTGGAATTTTAAAAGGCTATTTAGATCAGAAGACTGAATGCCCTTCTTTAAAGATCAGTCTGAATCCAGCAAAATTTGCTATAAGGTAATTTTTCTAATGGAAATTCTACTTCTTTACTGGCTTACAAAATCAAACTTTCATTCCTAAATACAACATATCCCTTTTTTCAATTTTGAGGAAAATCAATATAAATTAATAAATAGAAACATCTAATGGACTAATGCACTTAATGAATGGTTCAATTTTTAACCTCTGTAATACAGTAGGGGGGATTCATCAAGTAATTTGTTGATCATTAGAATATTTACAAATTTGAGTACATATAAAGATGTCTCAATAATCTGGTACTTTCAAGAACCTGATATTCCAAGAGATTTTTTCAAATGAGTGAATAACTAACATTATAGCCAGCATGTTAAGAATTATACATCACCTTGAAAGAATGTCACCAGTCATCTTTGTGTGAGCAGACAGAAAACAGAGGACCCTTAAGTTCTATGACCCTTTGAGGTTTATCCCACATTAATGAATGCTTACTATGCTGAAAACACCAGTACAGCTCAGGTAAGATGGTGGTCAGTCTTGGTATCACTGGGCATGACAGTATACCTTGACTGGGGTCATTACCCTTCAGCTATCAGTTCTGGAGCACAAGCATTTCTTTCATGCTGTAAGATTGCCTGTTAACAAGTACACATACCTCCCAGAGTGTTCTATATCTCCATAAGTCTGAACAGAATGGGACATATTTATACATTGCCAAAAGGTTCTGTCATGTCAAATATGAACATTTTTTCAGCTTTGAATCTTCTGGGAATATTAAAAAAAGTTTCTTAACTCGATTACATCCAAAATCGCAGTACAAAATTTCACATATTAAGTTTATTTTTAAGAAAGGATATTAAATATATGAGGAATTACTGTTTTTCTTATATGCCTTTAGGCACATATTCACTCCAACACACCGACAAGGGGCCATCTAGTGATGCTGATTTCCTAATTTTCATAAGAGAACTTAAAATAAAGGGGCACAGTGAATAGATGTGACTGAAAACCGTACACTGCCAGAAAAAATAGGAATGGGTGTCATAAGGGTTCAATAAGGAATAAAATTTAATTTTCCTACAGAAAAAAGTGATGTTCAAGCAAAAATGTTATTGATAAACTTTTCAGCACACAAATGTATTTGCAAGTGGACAATAGCATTGTCCAGGAATTTAAGTCAAAGTATAAACCATACTCCTCACTTCCACCCAAAGAATGCCAAGCCATTTGTTCCCACATGTCAGAGGTTTGATATTCAGAGTATTCGTCAATGCAAAGACACAAAGCAGGACTATTGAACAATTTTTTCCTGGAGGAAAACAGCTATCCCAGTAAACTTCTTATCTGCCATATTAAGGGTTAAGTTTCTTTTAAAGAAAGGATACTGACAAGGTTTCTGCTTTACAAGGTGCCAGTATGAATGATCCAAATATCAAAGAAAGAACAAAACTTCACTAATCATACTTCAGATGGAAAAATAAGAAATCTTTTTCATGAAAGAAAGTACCGATGTACTGCAAAACATTTAATCAAGGTGGAGTATTTGCCTTGTTTTATAATTAAACTCTGTCATATTGTCTCCACTGATATATAATGAGTATTGACAGTTCTGACTACAATGTGCTAAAATCTAAAATAACGGTAAGAAATTGTATTAAAGTCCCTAGTTATGATGGTGTTAGAGTCAATATCTTTCTTTAGTTTTCCTAGAAGTTGCTTTATGAAAGTTGGCGCACCTATGTTGGGTGCATATATTTTAGGATAGATATTTCTTGTTGATGGAGTGAACCTTTTATCATTATGTAGTGGCCCTCTGTATCTTTTTAAATTTTTGATAGCTTAAACGGTATTTTGTCTGAAATTAGGATCGTGACTCTTCCTTTCTTTTGTGTTCCATTCACCTGAAAATTTGTTTCCCATCTTCTTACTTTGAGTCTGTGCATGTCCTTTCTAGTGAGATGGGTCTCTTGAAGGCAGTATATTGCTGCCTGGTGATATTTTATCTATTTTGCCATTCTATGTCTTTTCAATGGTGCATTTAGTCCATTCACCCACAGCCAGCATACTCCTAAATAGACAAAAACTGGAACAATTTCCCCTGAAAACTGGAACAAGACAAGGATGCCCACTCTCACCCCTCCTGTTCAATATAGTATTGGAAGTCCTGGCTAGAACAATCAGAGAAGAGAAGGCAATCAGGGGTATCCAAATAGGAAAAGAGGAAATCAAGTTATCTCTCTTTGCAGACGACATGATTGTGTACCTTGAAAACCCAAGAGAATCTGTCAAAAACCTTACACTGATAAAGGACTTTGGCAAAGTCTCAGGATATGAAATAAATGTGCAAAAGACAATCGCATTTCTTTATACCAATAATAAACAAACAGAAACCCAAATAAAAAGCACAATTCCATTCACAATAGCCACAAAAAAAATGAAACACCTTGGCATCTTCCTTACCAGAGACGTGAAAGACCTTTACAATGAAAACTACAAAACACTGCTCAAAGAAATCAAAGATGACACAAACAAGTGGAAAAATATTCCATGCTCATGGGTTGGAAGAATCAACATTATGAAGATGTCCATTTTACCTAAGGCAATCTACAGATTCAATGCAATACCCATCAAATTACCAGCAACATTCTTCTCAGACCTAGAAAAAACAACACAGGAATTCATATGGAAACACAAACGACCAAGAATAGCCAGAACAATCCTCAGCAAAAAAAACAAAGCAGGCTGTTGGGAGCCGGCCATGGAGGCCCACTGAGCATTAGGGATCAGGAAGGGCCATTGATCCCGAGACCACTAGGATGCGTTCGGGAGCTATTGACCCCATTTCCTCTCCCTTTCTACTCAGCACTAACCAGATTAAGCTCCTGTGAGCTCAAAACATAGAAACTCTGAGATCGGGACGAACACAAGCTAACTTTAGAAGCTCATTGCTCCCATTCTTCCTCAAACTGCAGTTCTGGCTTTCATACAACTTGTAATTCAAACTCGTGTCACATCTAAGAGCCTTAGTATTGGTCACAGGCTTCTGGGTCATGATCTTAGGATTTATTGAAGGTGTAAATTGTAGAATATAGTTTTAGAAGACAGCCATTTTGTTGAAAGAATGAGGCTGGGTTACTTACAGGTAGCCCACTGTGAACTTTGGACTGGGCCACATTCCAAACATTCTGGGATGGGCACTTTCATTTGTAAAGTAAATACTTAAGCTTCTATAGAATTGTTTAACTTGGCATAAATCAATCAGCTTAGGATGAAAAAGGTTTATAGAATATGTCAGTCACAGATTAGGTTATCCTTTTTTATGGAATTTTAAGATTATACTATGAAAAGGGTTTAAAAGCAATCATTGATTAAGTTTTCATGGATTAAGGTTTCTGGTGGGTGGGGGACGCCCCTTCCACATCTGATTTTGTGTATAAAAGACCCATTGTAATTCCCAATAACACACATTGCTTCTGCACTAGACCGGAGTCCAGTCTCTTTCTTTCTCTCTTTCTCTCTTCTTCCCCCCAATTGCCGACACTGTCTCCACCTTTGGGGTACC